TGGAGGGGGGAGGGATTATCAAATCCACAAAAGAAAGATGTTTTTTTTCTACAAAAAAAAACCCAAAAAATGTTGAGGATTTCTTTCACTTCTACTCTCAGTATGAAATCTTTAAAAAATCAAAATATCCAAATCAAAAATTAAACTTTAAAAAAAAGAAATATCATGGATTTACTTTTTAAAGTTTTTTCTTTTTCAGAAAAGTTGTCTGTTAATATATGAACAAAGATGTTTTAATATATGAACAAAGATGTTTTAATGTATGAACAAAGATGACAGAATTTGTTGTATTTCTTTTGATAAAACAGTGTTAGGACAAAAATATTTAATTTAAAGTAAGCCTAAAACTTAAAATGAAAATGTTTTCAAACTCCTCCCCTCCTTTCAAAGTTATGACTTGAAGTGTGTATAAAAGAACGAAGCGAAATCAAAAAAGAATGACACATGGCATACTTGGACTGATGTCCAATTATAGGAAGAATCATAAAGAATAACAGTGTGTTATTATTTCTACTATTTTTTCATTATTTATAATTATTTTTATTCTTTATCAATTTACAATAAAAATATTATATCGGTTGTGGAAGTACATTAATCTACTCATTTTATGTGAAACCAAAGTTACATGCTTATACAGGCACATTTTAAACTTTTTTAGCTTTAACTTTTTGCAGTAATGGGTAAAACTTTTATCAATTTAAACGTGATAGCTTGCCCCATAGATCTCACCAGAAGGCACTGCAAACCAAGATTTAAGCTAGAAACAAGCAAGTTGCAATTATAAATTGTAAATGCCTAGGGCTACAAAATAGTATGAGTAAGTTTATAATGTAAAACCAAAGGCCAGGGCGTTGCGACACTTTAAAGTCAGGACTGTCTCTAAAATTTGATGACTATATTTCAGAGGTGTCAATATCTCAGTAAAGGGTATCAGTCCTTTGACTGTCCAGGTTTGCCTCGAATTTAACCCCCCTCTGTAGTTTTTTTTTACATAACTCGAAAAGTATTGGTACCTCTGAGGATGTTGAAATCGACTTTTCCCAAATACCCATATCCCTCCCTTTAGGTCTAAAACCGGGCTTTTATCCTAACTGCCTAAATCCTCAGGCACAGTGCCCGAATGACTACTGTACCAAACTAAGTCATTGTTTTGACATAAGTTTTGCAAAGAAATGTTTGCAAATTTTTTGCATACAATCCGTCGAAAAGGGATTTTAAAAATGTATATTTTATCATTTTTTTGACATTTTTTGCAAACATTTTTACTATTTAATTGGAATTGGCAAAAAAATCTTTTTTTTTAAGATTCTAAAAGTAGCGTATCAGAGCTTTTCAATGATGTATCATTTGTCACAATTGGACATCAAACATGGGTTTTAGAGGGGGGGGGGGAGTCAAATTGACCACCCTTTTTGGATATCCTGGTCAAGCTTCCTTTTTGGGATTTATACATTTTCGAAGGTTTTTAGTTCAAGAAATCAAAAAAAATATAGTCTGTAAAGAAACCACATGGAATAATATTTCTTAGAATAATAATAATAATATTCACAAAACTGCCTGACACCATATTTGAAACCGGGATTCGGATACTCCGCAGTCTTTTGTTTCGAGCTCTGGGAAGTACTTAATGTGATTGTATCCATGATTGTAGTACATTTCTTCCTGGTTCATTTTTCTTGGTTGGTTTGGGGGGGACTGATGTTTATTATATTTATAAACGCTACATGGCATTTAATATAAATTATGGAGTTATTAACAAGTTTAATATTTTCCAAAGAAATCAAATCCAAATTAATTTGTTATCCTGCCGCATAATTTAAACATAATGAACCTTAGTTCAGGACACAATTATAATTATTTTCAGTTTATTAGTTCTACAAAATTAAAGATTAGCTAGGACTTCTGATTGTGTAAACCTCTCATAATTCAAACTTTAAAATTAGATCTATCTCATTTATAGTAATAGAAGATGTCAAGGATATTGCAGGTCACGAATATCAGAGGCCGAATTTAAAGAATTTGAGCTGAGGCTTAAATATGGTTGGTTCCACTCAATTTTGTATTAAATTTTTCAAGGCTTTAAGCTGGCGCTCAATTGAAACCGGTTTTTTTATGGATTTGAGACGCGGCTTAAATTCATTAAATTCGGACACAGGTCGATCAAGAAAATTAAATGATTGTACAAAAGTTACCAGTTCATCTGGCGATTTTATGTGTTTTTACGAAAATACAAATTTAAATATATGCACATCTACATAAGATAAAAGTCAATAACTAAAAGAATATGGTTAAAAATATCTAACAATATTTTTAAAAAGAATAGAGGATCAATACAGATACAAATCATTATATCGGTTTATCGGAGTATTGAGAATCCACAAAGCTGGTGAATTACTCAAACACATAAAGGACAAAGCCAAATGTCTTTTAATGATGTTGGGTATTTTACCAGTACGTGACATTTTTCCAAAGGCATTTTTCCTAATGGCATTTTCAAAAAAACATTTTCCCTACGTCGACTTCCCAAGTGACAATTTCCCAAGTGGCAACTTCGCAAATTTGAAATTTCCCGAACGGCAACTTCCCAAAGGTTTGGTCATGCCTTCTAAGACTAGGGGGCCGAGCGCTGCAGCAAGGACAAACTTGGGAAGTTGCCACTTGGGAAAATGATTTTGGGAAAGTCCCATAAAGACTTTTTAACAGGGTTGGGGGAAATTTTAAAATGGGTTTAAAGGAATTTAGTCTTGGGAAGAATCTCTGATTTTCTAATCTGTATATCTTAGCAATCAAATGTCGTAGACCTTAGATATTTCACAATATGAATTCTGCTATGAACAAATAATCTATTTTTAAAAATCAAAGGATAACACCATCAGGTTGCATAGATACAGGGATTACAAATCTGACTCAATTTCTGTAATACTAGCAGAAAAGGCAGACTTAGTTTCAAGGATTTTAAGTATATATTTAAGGGATTGGGATTTTCTTGCATTTATTGTCGAAATTTACCCTTTCTAGATGAGCTACCTGACTTAAGGCCATATTTACTGTTTATCCTGAAATCGTGAAAGAACAATCACGTGGCAATAACTTTCCAACCTCACGTTTTTATAATAACCTGAATTTTTTAAACTGATTTTTCTGTAAAATGTATTTTTCTTCAATAATTGGAGTCTTATAAAATTTCAACTACAATTGTTCAAACCGGATAAAATTCAAAAAAAGATTAAATTGTAAATTGCGCTTAATTATGCTCTAAGAAGTTCTAGACTTTACTATAACAAGTCTAAAAGTCTATAATTATCTACACTTCTTATCGTTCTTTTTTTTTAATAATTTTAAACTTCTTGAGTGTTAAACACATGTTTGTGCTCAAGTTTCAATTTACAATCTATATGCCAATATTATGTCATAGATTTAAAATTCAAAATTTAAAAAAAGTTTCACAGAACATTGTCCATGAATAGACTAGCACTTGCATGGAATGGTTTACATGAGAAACTGAAGGATTCCACGAGGATGGACCTGAGAGCGGAGACCGAACCTCCGAAACTCTGAAGAAACCTCGCCTCGGACCTCTCTCCTTAGCTCAGGTTGGAATTGCGGGAAAATCAGGTTTTTTTGCGGATTTTCTTCCTGGGTAATGTTGCACATTAATGCCAATACAATACCTTAATGATAGGGAAGGGGGAGGTATTTCTATTGAATTATTTACTATCCTTCTTGTCTTGTGAGAGAACATTACAGAAAAAAAGAATAGAATGTTGCATAGAGCATTCTTCCGTACAAAATCCTAACTAAAAACTGATACAATATCAAAATTCAAAAATCAAAACAATCAAACAATAAATAAAAATACTTGTTTGGAAAAATATGCCAACCTATTCATTTGTTTCTAGAACAAGATTAAATCCAAGTATAATATCTCTTTTGATACAAATACAAAAAAAACTAGTTCTTAGAAATGTAGCTCTAAGCAAGGATTAAACTATTTCATCAAAAATGTCAAATCCTGTTTGCACCTGCAAAATATAACACAGTAGTAAATTAGAAGCAACTTTTGTAAGATATAAAAAATAAAAAGATACTTATTCAGTAATTAACGATTTAAAAAAACTGGGATCAAAAAGGAAGGTCAATTTTTTTATTTTTTTCAAAATATTTTTTAAGGGTATCAAAAGATGCACCGGCCCTTTGAACCGCTGAATACTGCCCATTTGTCTGTTTTTGATGTTTCAAAAATTGTGTCATTTAGGGCTAAAAAACTATTTTTTTATACTCTGGTAAATATCTTGCCAGTTTGTAATTTGCCCAATTTTCAAAGGAATTTTACGAATTGAACGTTTCTGTACTCAGTGTTTCAAGACTAAAATAATTTTTTCGGCTGACATTTGTGAATTGATTTACACAGAAAAGTTGAAATCTCAATAAATCTTGAAATGAAAAAAAAATTTCGCGAATATTTTTCAAAATGTATCGAAAAAACGTTAGAACTTGCACAAGGTGGATTTTAAACATTTTTATCAAAATAGTGCCATATAGTTTCACCCTTACTCTAGATCTATTAAAGATATTCCCCGGTGCAGCAGCAGAAAACATTTCAATGGGAACAAAGGATTAGATTGAGTAGGAAAATTAATCTTTGATATCTTGACTTTAACAGTTAGTAAGGGTCAAGGAGTAATAAATCTTTGATATCTCAGTTGCTTACTTCCTGCGCCAGGAAGAGGATCTCTCATGGCGGCTCCGGGCTTTACAGTTCGGAAAAGCTCTTTGAAAAGTTGCTCATGATGTATCCTACAGGGGAGTAGCCAGTAAACCATAGGAGATAAATAAACTAAGAACTGTGGCTTAGCTGAAAGAAGGATTATAACCAATGATGGGTATACAAGCCAAGCACAGCGATACTGGTTTTTTACTCGGCCAGCTGTGTTGACTGGTCGATTGTGAAAGATTCCACCTAATTGGGCTTTAACCCTATAAAGACTGGGGGGGCCTGAATCTATGTATAGCCGGGGGGGGGGGCATTTGGCGCACCACTTAGAAAAAGGCCTTAGAGAATAGGTATAGGGTTGAAATGCATGTTCATAGCCAAGTTTGTATGGCCAGCTAAAAGAAAAAAAATATAGACCAATAACTTTAATAGGTTAGGTGCTACATGCATTTTTTAAGGGCTTTTCAAAAACATAGTTCTTAGATCTGTAGCTTTAGCCATCAAAAAGTTATGGGCTATTTTAGATTTTTTTTCATAAACAGGAATTTTTTTCCGCCCTGTAGCCTACCCTATGAATTAAGAAAAAAAAATGTTACAAAAAATTACTTTTCATTAAAAGTCACAAAATTTCACGGTGTCAAAAATGAGAGTGTTAGGACAAAAAAACTACAGGGTGGGGGGGGCGCCAAATTCACCCCCCCCCCAGCTTGTTTCTATTTGGAGAGGCCTCAAAGCATAGAAACAAGAAACAAGAAGCAAGAAGAAAAAAGAAAATTAAACAAGCAAAATTGTAAAGGAAATCTCTTGATATTAGAGACGGGAGCTTGGANTTCGTTTCTCCCTCTGAAAGTTTCAGGAATTGTGTGTTTTGATTAGTCAGATGTAACTGAAGAGTAATCAATTCAATACAGAGTTCAGAAAAAAGAAATCCTCTCAGCTAGTTCTAACTTGTAGTGTGGTATACTGCAAGGATAAACCAAAAACAATTTTTCTTAGAATTAGCCGAAATAGATAAGATAAGAGGTACAAACAAGAAGAAACATGAAGAACCAGAAATATAGAAATGTTACAATATTTTCATGTGATATCATATAAATATTTAAAGAATATTGTAAATAATTTTAAATTTTGAAAACAAAAATGTAAAAAAAATCTTTGATATCTTGACTTTAACAGTTAGTAAAGGTCAAGTAGAATTAACCCCTTATATCTTGACTTTAATAAGGGTTGAGGAGAATTAATCTTTGATATCTTGACAATAACAGTTAGTAAGGGTCAAGGAGAATTAATCTTTGATATCTTGACAATAACAGTTAGTAAAGGTCAAGTAGAATTAACCCCTTATATCTTGACTTTAATAGTTAGTAAGGGTTGAGGATTTTGTTTGATACATGTCCAATGCAATGAGCAAGTTTATTTGATTTAAAATGAGTCTCTTAAAACGTATTTCCCGTATTTTTAGAGAAACCTTACATATTTCTCCTGCACCAAAGTAATTAGGATTTTTTTTTGAAGAATAAGATATAAAGAAGTAAATGAGATTATTCAGCAGTCTGTAACAATTGTTAATTGAATATAAATAACTATTTAAGAATTATTTCGAAATTAGGCAATTAAATAATAATTAAATAATACATTAAAACAGTATTTAACCGATAAACCTGGAACAAAAAGCTGTGTAAATTCATAATTAGAGTAATTTTATTAATCTTTAAAAGTAAATCAAATCCGAATCAAACCGGCCACGTTTAGAGATTCAGAAAAGGAATCCTTAAGACTTAAACTAAAACTAAAAACCATAACAGTAGCTTTTTATTAAGCATAATTGATTTTCAACAGCACAAGTAACTTAATTGTATCCGGAAGTTTACATAATTAAATTAATTAAGTTTGTACACAAAAGTCTGTAGCTGATTCTCATGCATAATGAAACATTTTTAATTTTCTGAATGCAATTGTATGTATCGAGTGTAACTCCTTTAATCATCAAAAACGAGTGCAAAGAAAAATGATCAATAATTAGTAATTTGTTAATATAGATTAGTAACAGTCTCTGTAGTAAAATATAAATCCGTTAAGTCAGAATTTCAAAAATAGATTATTTTTATTTAAATACTAAATATCAAACATTTTCAAGTGAATCTATATATTCGTAATTTAAAAGAAAATACACTTTAAAAAAAGATGGGGAAACAACAAATGTGCTATTAAAGAAAAACTTTTTTATTTTCATTTGATAAAAGTTACTGTTACGCAAAGAAACCCCATAGGGCTAAATCTAAAGTGGAAAGTAGTTGAACTTTGAAGATCAACTTTAACCAAAAAGGGGTTCAACTAGTTTTCTAAACGCTTAGCTCAACTACAGTCGTTATAAATATCAAAAAAATCAAATAATTCTCTCCCCCCTGCTTTAGATTACTACAAAGCACTGTACTATTCTATCTATTGAATCTAGATATACCTGATATAATTCTCTCCCCCCTGCTCCAGACTACTACAAAGTCTTGAAGGTTTTTTATCCTGCAGTCTAGTACAGCATTTCCTCCCTTCACGATACTGAAGGTTCGGCTCCGGGATTCAAAGCTCGGAACATTCCCCGGGATTGCGCGTTTAACACGTGGCGAGCACACTATGAAAGTAGATCAAGTTAGTTAGTTCTAAGGTCGATTTAATGAAGGGAGTATAGAAAATAAATTGAAGTATATTGATAACCAGAAAACTCTGGAATATAGGAAGTCAACATGTGGACTAAAGTCATGGCTTTTAATATTAGTCCGATGAACATGAGACACAGTAATTTTGAAAAGTAAACAGACCCATTTTTATAAATAATTGACTTTTTAACTTCCTAGAAATAATAGCTATTTACACATGAAATGCACTTCCGTATTGCTTTAATGTCGTCTTCCTATTCTACTTTGTTCTAATTATCACTATAGGTACGAAAAGTTTAACTATTGACCATGACTAGAATGAACAATTCGAAAAAAATATTAATTTTGTTTTATCAATCCGTTTTTCGATAAAAAAATAATGATATCAAAAGTTTTAACAACAATCTGTTTTAATCAAAGAATTTAATTTATTCCTCTTAGATATCCCGTGGTGCTAACGTAACTTAGCCCTCAAATTTTAAGGTTATCAATGTGAATATCGAGATAAAAGCTATTTCAAACAAAAGTTATGACTTTAGTTTGAAGAACACACACCAACCTGATAGAAGTGAAGAAAAGAACAAAATCACCAACATGACTTTATTCTGTCCTTTAGTACTCTACTGAATTAGGCTCTAACATCATTTTTTTACTGAGTAACCTCTGAAATAAAAAATAAAAAATAATTAATTCTTTTTAAAAAAATAGAATATTTACAAAGATGTGTTTTGAAAAGTGTGTCATTGAAGAAACTAGTGCAAATTCAAGAATAAAAAATATTAATTTAAGAAATGTAGAAATACAAGATAACACAGGTATTGTTAAATATTTATCCGAAAAAAAAATTATGATCAAACTGAAATATTCAGGAATTGATTTGAAACAAAAAATTTTAATTGAAAACTGTATGAGAACTTGAAGGACTTGAAGTAATTAGGGAGAATTTGTCTATTTTAAATATTCAATGTCTCCACCATGTTTTTAGTTCGTATCAAAAATATTTTCTATATTACTATTTAGTCACTAATTATACTGATTCGAAGAAATTGTAATGATTAGGTGTGAGTAGTAATTACAGTATAATTAGTCACCTAATTATAAGGAATGGACACTGCTCGGTTTCTTGCCCCCCGTACAACATGGGGTTGCAAAGATATAGGGATTAGAAAATCAGAGTTTGTGATAGAAAACCAATTCCTTTGTCAAATAAACAAAAAGATTTAAAACTTTACCTCTAAAACTTCAAGACCATAATCTGCAGTTAGTCTCACTTGTCCATCCTTTCTCACCAGCATACGGTTAGCTAAAAGCAAAAATGCTTTTTAAACATCGCAATTGTCATATTAAACACATAAATATANGTTTGCTACAGGCAAAAGCAGTCATTCAGGCAGTGTGCCTGAGGACTCAGGCAGTTAGTATTAAAGCCCGGTTTTAGGCCTAAAAGGAGGGCTTTGGGTATGTAAGAAAAGTCAGAAAATTTCAACAGCCTCAGACCAATACTTTTTGAGTTATGTAAAAAAAACTACAGGGGGGGGTCAAATTAACCCCCCCCCCCAGCAGGAATAGGGTTAAAGCCAAGGGAAAGGCAACCTTCGCCCCACCTCCAAGAAAAGGGAAATTTATGAAGGTAAGAAACATACTCATAGCCTAATTTTTATACGTCTATCCTGGTTTCTAAGCTTCTATAAAACAAAGTCATATGACAATATCTTATTACGGCAGACCTGTTGGCAGATCATAGATAAAAAAATGATAATCTTTTTGTTTGAAAAAGTCATGATGTTTGAATTATAAAAATAGTATGAAATGCATAGATATATATGATTTACATAGATGCGTAACTAATATCAACTATGAGTTTAAAAATAATTAATAAGTAAAATTGGCATTTGTCCTAAAAAATCATAAAACATAACTATTCTAACAGTTGTCGTCTTCTTATTCCACATTTTATGAGTCCTCATATATATATTACATCATCTATGTAAACTACTTCCCAAACTTTTAGTCATGCTAAATGATTTTTTTTTGCATGCGTTCTCTATATACAGATTGCATGCCTGCCCAGTAAATCTGGAACAGTATAATAATCCTACTGTTTTGAAACAAAACATATCAACTTTACAAACAATTAAATTTCAGTGGAAAAGGTACAATTTTCGTTCGTCATGTTGTAGATCACTATGTTTAAACTAAAAATGCGTGTAGACTTTTGCTTATAGCAGAGAACGATAACAACAGATACTAGAAAAGTTGCGCGAAGCGTCCTTTACGTGTCCTTTACTTTGCTTGTCTTCTGTTTGTTTGTACCAAAAACGTCAAAACGGCTAAACCGATCGGTCCCACATTTTTTGTGGGACCTCACGTGACCCCAGTAAAGGTTTTCAAAACTTTGCTTCTAACAAAATTCGATTTTTTGAAAGTTTTGAAAATCATCAATTTTTTTGTTATAAAATCCGCAAAAGTTTCGTTTGTTTTTGTTTTACAATGTACACAAAGAGAGCATGTTCACAATTGAAATAGAAGTTGGACGCGAAGCGCCGTTAAAATCTAGTATATATATACTTTGCTTGTCTGGTTGTTTGTCTGTTTGTGTCCAATAAATGTCACAACGGATGAACCAATCGGGCCCAAATTTTATGTGGGATCTCACATGACCCCGGGGAAGGTTTATAAATGATCAAATTTTCAAAAATTAGCCTCAAACAAAATTTGATTTTCATTAAATTTGAAGTTTGAAAATCCGCGAAATTGTTTATATAAAATTCGGTTGCTTTTTATATCATCACTAGAAATTCAAGGCGCTTCGCGCCCTTCTTTCTAGCCTTAGAGGGCGCTTCGCGCCCATCTTCTAAATTAGTTGTGAACATGTTCTCTTTGTGTACATCGTAAAACAAAACAAAAATAATTCGCGGATTTTCACAAAAAATTTCGCGGATTTTCAAAATTTTTAAAAATTTAATGACGATCGAATTTTAATGGAGACAAATATTTGAAATTTTGATTTTTCATAAACCTTCCCTGGGGTCCCTAGATGTCCCACAAAAAATTTGGGCCCGATCGGTTCAGCCGTTTTGACGTTTATTGGATACAAACAAACAGACAGACAGACAGACAGACAGACAGACAAGCCAAATTTATATATAGATATTAAAATAAAGTTTCATAGTTTTCCCTCGGCAGGTACAATTATGGCAAGTAGAATCCCTTTTTACCAGATTTGTTTTTTTATGGTGGATTGACAATGAATTCTTTGTTTAATTAGAAGTAAGTTGAGGTGATTTGAATCCGATTTTAATGATCAACGAGCATTCTCTTTTTAAACACTTTTCACTAACTTTGTATCTTCTATTAGTTTAAGGTTAGCACTAAAGGCAAATATATTTGTTCTTTGACAGGTTCACGCTGAATTCAAAATATTTAATCTACTGTGGGTCAAACAAAAAAATTAATAAACAACGTAAGAAATTTTCTTTACACACAACAAAATTTTATAATTACAAGTATTTCATATCAATTAAAGAACTATAATTATCTGTTTCCTTTATCAAAACTGAAAAACAGAAAACTGTTGCATGTCGATCTTATATTTGAGATACATCATATTTTTGAAGTTTAATTCAATATTTCGTTTTGCAGAAATACACAAGATAAATTGAATCTAAGTTAGATTTTATTTCGTAATCTGTAGTAAAATGCCCTACTCCATTAGGGGATCTCAAATCTGTATCTATCCAGGTACAGTTCAGTTTCACTTAGCTTATCAATGTTTAAACCCGGATACAATCTCGTCTGCTATCAATGTCAACAGGGACACAAGCTCTTAAGCTTTCAATGCCAAACTAATGGGCACGATCCTCAACTTGTATGTTTCAACAAGGAACAGCTATTGATATCAATCGGAACCAGGTTACTATTAATGACCAATGGGCATGATCCTTAATTTTTATCAAAACAGGGAAAAATTAATCTCTATCAGTAAACCCCCCCCTATTTACGCCACTGTTGATAATTGTGGATGATTTTTTGTCGCAGATTAAAAATCGTTAAAATAATGAAATTACTTTTAATAACGGATAAAAAATCCATTTTTGAGAAAGTAACGGATTTTTAATCACTGATTTTTTGGTCATTGAATTCAATACTTTTTATACCTTATTAAGAGACAATTTATTGTTAATTTATTGTTAATTTATGGACTTTTTCTGTTTTATATTTTCAGATTTTTAATACGAAAGTATAAAGGACAAAAAGTCTGTATAACTAAAGGATTATTTGTCTCTGACAATTAACATTTTGGTCTTAAGGATACAGTGTAGATTTAGGCTGCTATGGAGACTAGGCAGGCTTTTAAGTGTCTCAACTACTTGGCCTTCGAGTTTACCTCACTTTATACTCACTTATGTATTTTTGTAGCCTTAGATATTTACATTCTAAAACTAAAAAAACACTGGTCATTAGCTTTAGTTTTTCAGATGTAATTGTTAGAATTAATATTTGGATTAATGTGTTAAAGAATTATTCTTTTTTCTTCAGAATTTTTTTGTTCCGTCAGAGAAATTCCAAACCATTAAACTGAAATAAAAATAAGAAACGTATAGGGGAGGGTGAGTGATGAGTGCTCAGCTCTCCTAGCTGGACCAGTTAAATTTATGGGTTCAATGGGGTGTTCACTGTTCAGCCCCTACAGGGTGCTGAGCCTCTCTCTCTTCTCTCTCGTTTTTCTCTCTTTTCTCTCTCTTCTTTCTCTTCTCTCTCTCTCTTTCATCTCGTTTCTCTCTCTCTTCTCTCTTGTTTCTCTCTCGTTTCTCTCTCTCCTCTCTCTTTTCTCTCTCTCTCCTCTCTCTCCTTCTCTTTCTGTTTTCTCTCTGTTTTCTCTTTTTTTTCTCTTTATTTTCTCTCTCTTTTCTTCTTCGTTTCTCCCTCTTTTCTCTCTCATTTTTCTTTCTTTTCTCTCTTTTTCTCTCTCTCTTCTCTCTCTTTTTTCTCACTCGATCTTCATCTCACTTTTTCTCTATTTCTTGCTTTTTCTATCTTTTTCCTCGTCGTCTTTTTCTCTATCTTTCACCACATCCTCCGAGCACCAATTTGTTTGAAGAAATTCAACCTTGTTTTTGAGATAAACAGTGCAGTACGATCAGTTGATAAGATTTTCCCCAGATTTGTTTACAATTCCAGCTTGTAGACCTAATTGAAATGTAATGCGTATAAACTGTCTGGTTCAGAAATTGATATTCTGATATTTTTCCACAAATAACAAACTTTTTTTTATATTTACAAAAAATATTTCGACATTTTATGAGAGCATTATTCTGTATCCAATTTTTTCTCAAACAGTTTTGTATGTATTCACTATCCATGTTCTAGCAAATTCCTGAATGAATTTAATTGTTCATAATTACTGAGGGGTGAGATACGTCCCCTTCTTTTCTAATTATAAAACTTCCGCTTTCCCCCCACTGAACGACATATAATTACTCCATGGTGAAATTTCTCCCCTTCT